TACATATCGATATTTAACAAATATCGCTAAATATCGATATAAATAGATAATACAACTATCGATATATATCTATTACATGATTAACAACTATCGATATATATCTATTACATGATTAATATCAATATAAATAAAATTGATATATATCGATGATTAGATATTTATCGATATATACCTATTACCGGTACATATCGATTATTGGTAATATATCATTATATATTCTAAATTATCAATAAATGCTGTTTTTATCTTATTGATATATTTCAATTTTTTGCTATATATCGATATATATCTATATAAAAAATTTTCTGATAATAGTGTGTTTTCATTTGGACCAGTTTGATTATGTTCCAAGAAATTTCAGATTTAATCTAGTCTTATATTATTAATGTCAGTATTTTAAAAATTAATTGAATTTAAATCTTTGTTGTTGTTATGTATTAACGTAAATTTAAGTATGTTTACGGTAATACTGGCAAGTTTATAAAAGGATGCTAACACTTTTAGAATTTTCTCGAGTTGTGATCAGCTCTGTACAATCCAAGTAGTATTATCCATGTAAGCTATTACAGAAGTATTTAGACAATCTTAACTCTCTTTCTCTGGAATATTAGTAGATATCTAGTAACTCATAAGCTTCTTATTTATATAGCTTATTAGGGAGTTATAGTAAATATGCCAGAGTAAAGGTAACAGGATCTCACTCTGGTCTATCCCATCCTCAACCTAGTATAGACCAGTTCTACCAATGGTTGTTAATATCTGGTTTTGATAGTTGAAAAAGTAGTTGATTATTGTGTTGGTAATTTTGGGTAGTAGATTTATTCTTTTTAGTGCATAACATAACAATAGTAAATGTATTGTATCATATACCTTTAACATATCCTGTAATAGAATCTATAGCTCATTCTTGTTCATCTCTGCATCTTCTCTCAACTGAGCTAATTGCTGTATTGGTTCTATATAGCAATACTACATTATTTAAAGGTCTAGTATCTGATTGCTAGTGAATATTTTATTTATACAATTTGTTAGTATATTAGTAAAAACTTTATAAGGATGTTCAATCAGGGTTATAAAGTGGGTCTGTCCCATATCTCCCTTCATGTATGATGTCTTTGTAATAGGCCAAACCAAACTGTTCTTCCATGCTTTTGGAGTATCTTCTAATACCAAACATTGATTTAAAATATATAGCAAGGCTTCAAGAGCTGTTATTGGTAAGTTATGTAGCATCTCGTTAGAGATCATTAAAGGTCCTGTTGCTTTGTCTAAGAGTGTATTACTTATTATTTGCTGCATTTTAAATATAGTTATGGGCTCAAGTAATTTGTTAAAGATTCTGGGTGCTATGCATGTTTTGGATTTATAGTAGTTCTTCCAGCTAGGCTATTTCTATGGATTGCTTTTATTTAATTTGGTCAATTCTTAAAATGTGCTTTGACTGCTTTTTTGATCATCTTTGGTTCTGTAATAACCTGTAATAGAGTTACAATGTTATAATATATTAACTGTTTCTTGCTTTTATACAAGATGCTGTTTATCATCACAGAGGTATTAAATGCAAATTTCTCATATCTTTGCTTTACAAAGGAGTTTATTTTTTTTTTTTTCTCTGCATTGTTCATGCGATAAAGGCTGTATTATAAATTTGTTTTAAAGACTGCAGGAAATTGGCATATTGAAAACCAATAAAGTGCATACTTGTAACTAATAAGGTAAGAATTCCTGTTAGGTCACTCAGAGTTTTCAATTCCTTATTTATCTGTGATATTATGTATTCTGGCATAAGCAGTGGATAGACTGACTTGAATATTGCTAAAGTTTTATTTGCTACTTTTAGTCTTCTATGCAGTTGAGCTGCCTTAAAGGAGTGTATATGAAACACTTTCAGTTCAGTGGTAGAGGATAGTATATTATTTTTGGCTGCTTGTTTTACTATACTGTACCAGATATTTGTATAGTGGTTTAGGAATTCTCTGTTATTAACAACCAGATTAGAAATTGGAAAACTTCTCAAATTCTCCCTAATCTGTTTGGCAAATTGTATCCAATTGTCCTCTGTTGTTTTGTTATAGAGATAAACTTTTTGCTTTTGTTTTTTTGTTTTCTGCTTACTTAATATTAATAATATATACCATTTTGTTTAAAAAATTTTATGGTCGCTCTTAGTTGTATAGTCTGTATCTATTATTGCCAAAGGTTCAAATGCTAGTGTAATTTTTAGGTTCATCCAAATATTGTCAATTTGACTTTTCATCTTATTTCATTCTTATGTTGGTTCAATGATATTATATAGCTTCAAGAGGCTGATCATACCAAATTGATAGAAGTGAGTAATAATAGGCACTACTTTAGATTGGTTTGGTTGATTTATGTTACTATTAAAGTCTCTAGCTACTATTAAGTCTAGATATGTTGCTTTAGCTTGTTGAATAAATTGTGCTGCTTTAGTCTGTACTTTATTAGATATATTTGTTGAAACTAATGAGATATATATTGCAATTAATTATAGTCGTTGTTTATAGAGAAATTAAAAGTCAATTATTAGTAGTAGACCTGAAATTATTTTAATATTTCTAATATATAGTCTAAGAGAAGGTGTGATGCTGATAGCAACACCAAGACTTGCCTCTCTATTTATTGCATAGTCAATATCATTGTTAGCTGTATAGATTTTATATAGTGGATTGGAAAGGGCTTTCCTAAATGCCGAGGATTGTAGTAATTTTGTCTCAGTCATAACAATGATTTGGATCTCCTCTTCATAGCAGTATTCAAGCCATTCTTGTAGTTTTATATCATTGTTAAAACCTTGAACGTTGTGGTTAATTATTTTAATTTTGTCAATTGTGTTTTTTGTTTAATTGTTTTGTGTAGATTTTAATTTGAACTGTGAGTCTGGCAAGTTGTTGTCTGTATTTATATATAAGAAGAGTAATTATTGAAAATATTCTATTGGGGCTTGGGTAGATCTGGAATATTAATGATATAAGTAGATATGTCTGCAAAGTTAAAGTGTTCCTTTAAAAAATTGACTGTATGCTCAACTTCTTCTTGCATAGTAATTGGTAAAATAAAGGATAGTGGTTTTTTTACTGACTCTGATTTTTCCAGAATTTTTTTTACTGTTGTTGGCAATAGGGGTGTTCCTGGTTGAGCACTTGCTCTGGGTATTATTTGTATCCATTTGGCAGAAATTTCGCAGAAGAAGTAGTATTGTTCTTTTAGTGTTTTAGCTATGTCCACCAGCTGTTTTGGTGATATTATAGGAACTGTTAAGTTTGCTAATTTAACTTTTTCAGAGTCCTGAAGCAATAGTGGCTTATCTGTAGAGTTAGCCATCATGTATTAAAGTAGTAAAAATAAGTTGTATTTGTAGATTGTATAAATTTCAGCAACAAATTCTTTTGTCTTTATCGTGTTTCAGATATTGCCTTTGAACATTGACTTGCAGAGGATCTGCCAGTAGTAGAATTTTCTGTATGAAGTAGTCGTTTGGCATTTTTTTAAAACCGTAGTGTTTTTTCAACATATCTATATAATATCACAGCTCTGTGTTAGGATATAGAATGGGCCAAGTTGGGCTGGACTTTCTCAAACCTAAAACATACCCAGAAAAAAAAATTTAAGCCCAATCTAGGCCCAAGCCTAACAAAAAGCCCGAATATGGAACTGGGCCAGGCTTTCTTTTTATATTAGGCCTGGGCTCGACCTGACTCAAAAATTACTATAGATTAGAATGTTGCAATTATGGAAAATAGTTATATAAATATTAATTGAATATATATGCAAATCAACCAATCAAAATAATGAATTTTGATAAAAAGAATTATTTTTATATCATACTTAGTATTAATTTAAATCAAATAGGAACTCCATTATTAATATCATAATTATGTAATATTTCAAGTAAGTAAAAACATTACAATTTTATTTTTTCAAATTATGAATAAACTATGACCTAATAATAAACTATTTTTGTTTAATACATAACTAATAACCTAATAATAAACTATTTTTGCTCAATATGTAACTAATTATAACCTTATATTAACTTTATACAATTAAAGTGAATTCTTTATTTTTTTGATCTATATTATATATTATAACGATATTTAAGCTGTATCAAGAATCTATCTTCATAGTCTTTAGTATAATTAGCCACTGTATTACACAAATCTGTAAACAAATAAATTAATTAAATATAGCAACATTTATCTTTAATATAAAAAAAAGTTCTTATATAAAAAAAAAGCCAGCTTTAAGCATAAAGTTTATCATCTTTTAATTTATTCTAACCTTCTTTTCTTGTGCAATTTATCTAGTCTTGACTACATATTAATGCCTCAATAGTTTCCAAAATAAGGTTGGACTGATAATTGTCAATAATCCTTCTAGCTGTACTAAACATCTAAATGAATAATATAGTGATGCTAAAAGTTGGCTAAACTAAAAAAAAATAGGTTATATTAAAACCTTACTACTTCAGAAGCAACAGAAGTTACTAGGGCAGCAAGAATATTACATACTATTAATAATACTGATAGATATTTCAATTCATTTTCTTTCTACCAACTTAGAATGTCAAACAGTTCTGTATAGGAATGTAAAAAAAGCGGATCAGTGAGATATTGATCAAATTCATCCATTTTATTTGTAATATAAATTTGATTATCCTCAAAATAATGATTGAAATCTTTTATAAATTTATTTTGTAAAAAAATATCTGAAAAACTATCAAAAGAAACTATATTTTGCTTATTCCTTAAACCGTCTAGCAGGAAAATTTGCCTGCTAAAATTATTTTTATTGAGTTTTCTTAAAATTTATTTAAGCTTAACCCTCCCTATTTATTGAATAGAATTAAAGATATTCCTTTTATATATAATATACTTAAATTTTATTATTCTATCTTTAATTT